CCTCTGTCTTCGTCTTCACTTTAGATGGTGTAGAGACTGCAGAGTATGTTTTTAATTCATCTTTCAAATGTGAGATCTTTTCTCCAAGCTCTTTAAAAGTCTTCATTATATTTGCTCTCTCTTCTGGTTTCATGTTTTTGTTTTTTTCTAGCTTAGATATTAACATCTAAAAATTAACAAGAAAAATTAAAAATATCTTGAATGTATTTAAAAATAAATGTTTAAAAACATTACTATTAAAAATATCCATTAAAAAACCCATTCTGTGTTATCAACCCCAGCAATAAAAAGCTCTTAACTCACCTTTTGACACTCTATTTGTTTCTCTAACATTTCTTGCTTCTTTTTCCTCATATCTTGCTGAAGCTTCATTGCTTCCTATATGAATAGGTAAAGAAATGAAGACAATGAATGAATATTCTTAGCTCATTTCTTCTGAGACAACGCGAAGATGGATTTTTCTCTTAATGAAGAATAACTAAGACCAAAGATGAAACCTTTCAATAATTTTTGCAATATACTAGAGTTTACATTTATAACTATGTATGTTTTAAGTATTTAAAATAATAAGCACTAATCTATCATATTTGTGGGATTATTTACTTAAATGATCAGAATGCCTGTGTGAAGAACTGCCTTTTACTGTCAGAAGAGTAAGTAAAATCTAGTTTGTTTGGTTTTTGAAAGTGAAAAAATTTAAATGTAGCCATATGCTAGAAATGAAAGCAAAATGTAAAGCCTTCGGAAAAATTCTCTTTCCACCCTCCTTTAATAATTTAGGAGGAATGGAAAATAATCAAGTCTGTGAGCATCAATCAAAAATAGTAACAAATCCAGAACTGAACAAAATCAATACTATCTACATGATTATTTAACTCACAAACCCAGTATGAATTTAAATACTAAAATACAAAATGTGTATGTCTCTCTCTAGGGAGCTCTAGCAGCCTAGCAGATAAGAGTTGCACTGCCAACCAGAGGCATACAGTTCAGGCAATCTCTTCTCATGCCAATTTACAGCCTCTGAAAACCTGCTAGAGGATCAGCTATAGGTTGGTTCTGACAGTAATTAGTGGTGGTAAGTGATGTCTCTGTTGAATTTGGGTGGAAAAAAATGACAATTCAATGCTGTTTTCTATGCCACTGAAGAAAACTTCAGTTTACTTATGCTATTAGGTATGTAGTTGTTACGTGCTGTCAAGTCAGCTGTGACTCATAACAACCGTATGTATAGCAGCCCTAAACCCTGCTCTATCTCTGACACATCTACCCCATTACCCCAGTCACTGAATCAATCCACCTCACAGAGGGTCTTCCTCTCTTGTGCTATACCTCTACACTCTCAAGCATGACATCCCTCTCCAAGGACTGGTCCCTCCTTACAACATGTCCAAAGCATGTCAGGCAAAGCTTAAGAATCCTTGCCTCCAAGGATTAGCTATGGTCAAACAAAAAAATCTCAAACCTATTTCCACTGAGTCACAGCGACCTTGTATAAGGTTTCTGAGGCTAGTAATCTGTATAGAAGACTGTTCACCTTTCTTCCAAGAAATGACTGGTGGATTTGAACTGCTGCTGACCTTTGGTTAAATGGTTCAAACTAAGTACTAGAGCACAAGGCTTCCTTTTAAGACCACTAAAAAACAATTAAAAAACATTTTTGTGGGTTTTTTCTCTTCCCCAAGTTCACAACAAATAGGAAGAAATTAATGTTATTATATAGTTTCACAACTACGTGAATTCTTTCAAAGGTGTTAACATAACCCTTAAGAATTCAATACATCCTTTACTCTTTAAGGAACGTGAATGGAAACAAAGCTATTACCTGCTTCTTTTTGAGAACTTCTTGGACATCATGAGATTTAGAGCTTGAACAAAGTTTTGAAGGTGTCTTTAAGTTCGAGGAGCTGTAAATCTTTTGATGGCTTGGTGCTGAAAACATCTAAAATATATAAGTAAGATTAAATTAAATCTCAGGTAAGTTTGAAACTATTTTTAGAAAAAATTAGTATATATTTCTAGCTTAGGGTTTTACTTAT